TCTTTATTTCTTACATTAAATAAATTTTGAAAGCTCAACGAATTTCTCCAAAAAAAAATACTGCTTTTCTATTTTTAGAGATGGATTGTTTAACTCAGAATAATCCTGTTAATAAGCCGCGTCCCTGTAGGCTGTAAGCCTCTGAAATCTTTGTGTAAAACATGACTATAATCATTTCCTCATTAGCCTTGCTTTTCATTCCAGGCATGGATCACTGAAATGGCCGCCATTTTTTTAAAAAATTTCCAAGATAGTAATCAACTGGTTGAAGCGGCTTGGAAGGTTTTATAGGGCCCTCATCATCTTCTGGCCTGCAAAACAAATCCTGGGGTTCCAAAGCTGGAACTGACTTTATCTCCAATAAAGCAGATTTACCAGAATTGATTTCGCCACACTCCATACATATCCAGACCAAATGTAAAGTATCTTATCACTTACATAATAATTCACAATTTTATACAAATGAGAAGTATAAAATCCAACCTGCATAACTTTTGTTTGGTATGCGTAGATCATATGTGGAGCACATATGTTCTTGTACTTATATCATAATTTGCCAATAGAAAAATATTCTGCAGTAGTTTTCATTACAAAATTTATCATTTTGTCCTCACAATCCAACTTATTCTGCTATTGATGATTGATCTTTGAGGCCATTGTCAGGTTAACAAACTCAAGTGATCAAATCCCCAGCCTCCAAATGCTTGAAAACAGAACACGCTTGATGCCCACATAAAGAACGATTACCACAAACATTACTCAATAAGCCGCTTCTTTGTAACTGAGTTGGCAAAACCGGATAAGGATCCTGGCGTATAAACTGCTCCAAAAGAGATGATCTTTTCAAGCAGTGTACTCTAAAATCTACGATTCGGCAAGAAACAGGAGGAGCAGCAGCAGGAAGCCTCTCTTGGCAGCTCCTTAGTTGAAGGCACATGGACTCTTTTAAAGAAGATGATATGAGGTTCTACTTAATGAAACTCCAACGACGGCGAGAATTATATCCAGCCAGAGTCGCGGCTTGGGCTCCTCTCACAATTGCATTCAAAATAAAGGAATCATTGTGAGCGCATAGAGATGGTAAAGATCATGATAAAGCTGGTAGGCAGGTGGAAGGTTTAAAAGATGATAAAACAAATGATGAAATGTTGCTCTGCACTTCTAACAAAAAAGTACTCATTTCGATACCTACGCTTTAATTTGATAGTGATAATCATTTTATGATGATTAGTACTTCTCTTGAGAGCTGTCAATTCACCTTAGAGAAAACAATTGTTGCTTGTTCCTTTTGGAAAATAGCAAATTGAGTGATTTATTTTGCTTAGAGATTTTTACCAACTACAAAAGCATTTGAGATATTTTCAGATTTTAACATTGTTTTTGTTAGGTTTCATATTTTTCAACTTGTTGATGTGCACAAGAATGCTGCTATGAACAATTTTCCCCGTTTTTGCAAGATCTTTGCCTGCTTGCTATGGAATGATCTTTCTCTTAATAATGCATGGTCTGTAGATTTCCCTCATACTTGCACAATAGATTGAAAACATTTAGTTTAAGAGGAATCTAAGACTTAAGAAGCCGATAGAAAGATAGACCGATAATGCGCATCGAGAATGAAGCAAATTTATAAGTAATGTACGTTTGGTGTTGCCTCGAATTTGGCTCGATCCTTCACATACAATAAATTGGTCAACTAGTGGCAAAAAAAATAGAGACAAAAAATGGTCATTAGAAATAATTATCATTAATTTCTACAAAATTGTGGTGAAGTTCCCTTGAATTTTTGGCTCGATCCCTATTTGTTCATATTCGTTGATGCATTCGTACCGCTCCACTACCATCTATGGCTGCGGGATCCAAGTTGGCTACGGCTTGCCTCCGAGTAGGACGGCGAGTATCGCGGGCACCGTGCCTTCCTTCCAGATATTCAGAGTCGGTGGAGTTGCACCTATCGAGAACCCGTGCAACCGCACCACCGCCCGGGATTCTGTATGGACCGAGAAATGCTGGGATGTAAGAGAATGTTATTTGTTAGGGAGTCAAATTTAATAATGAAAATGAGTGGAATGGCCTCGACTACAAGTCACCTACCGAGTACTGAATTCCTGCACCCTACTCCTGAATGCTCGAGGATGCCACGTCAATCGCATCAATTGCATCTAGACATTCCTTGCTCTCCGATAAATTTCAAGAATTTTGCTGGCGCTTGGGCAGTTCTAATCTAGATCACAGGGCATCAAGCTCTTCTATCCGCAAGCGAGTGTTCTGATCTTGGTGAGACATATCTATACGAAAATTAACACTCTAACCTATACCACAAAGATTGTTTATATGTTATGCTAGTCATATCGAACCTTTATATCACACAGTATGTAGTGTATTTAAAACTATTTAGGGGGTAGCCTAACTTGTGCCACCTACCAAAAAGTTCTATGCTCAATAAATAAACACTTATAAAAAAAATGGAAATGGACAAATTTGTCTAGAAAAAATCAAGTAATAATAATTTTTCTAAATTTTTTTAGGCGTAATTGCGCCCCCTGAACTTAAGGGGGATCCGCCCCTTAAGGTTATAAAGGGCTATTGAGAATGGTCATGGTAGTTCTCCGTTGAGGGGACAACACAACACTAGGAGATGAGCGATATGGCGATTGGAAAGTGGGTTATGCCCATGAGGGTAGGGAACAATTCATTTCCTAATAGAAAGAATATAAGCTATGACTTGAAGGCAAAGTCAAATCAAACATTAAGATTGAGGTAATAAATGAGGTAGTGCGGAGAATAGCTAAAATGCTAATTGACGTTTCAAGTTGAGTGTAAGAGATATAAAGATTATCTTCTATGAAACAAGAAAGTTTATAAATTCCACTAAAATGAAGCAAATTATGTCTACCTATAAGATGAAGGGAAGTTGATCAAATGCAAGGAAAATGAGTCATTGGTTATTAGAAGATGGTGAAAACCTCACAAAAAAATGTCAAGCTCTTCATAATAGGGTGTAATGCAGGATGCTCGAGTTCGACAGTTAAACGATGAATCATAGTAACTTATCGAGCCACTAGTTCAAGCTCCGAGGCTCAATCTGACGTGGCTTGTATGGCTCGGCTGACACCTCTATAAGCTGTACTTAAAGTCGTTCAACGTGTCACAAAAATATTTTTTAAAATAATTTATATCATTAGATTGAACGTCATCATATAAGCTAATTATCCTTGACCGACCTCACCTGCATATCTCGAGTAGTCTATAAACAGTACAGAGATATCATAACTTTCAAAAAAGTAAATACTGCGACCAGAAGCACTGTGTGTATTACTCTGGATAAGTGCATCGAGCTTCTACGGCTCAAAACTGCCAATGCGTGCCTCCGGAATATTAACTGAGATACACAACGGACACCAAGTTCGACCAATATCCGAGGCCCAAATGGGTCCAAATCATGGACAGTAAGAGCCCCGCGGAAGTATCCACAAACTCACTAATTATTCGAGTTACCAAAACAGACCGTCCTCAATCACGATAATTCGTACACTAGTAGACTTTTTATACTATCGTAGATCTTTATACGAGCACGAACCTGTATCGACTATGACAAAAGATGCGACCATACAACCACCATGATTCCCAGAGCGAAATCACTACAAAGGCTATTACAGAAACATAATGAAGTATGCCAACTGAAGCGAAGAGCACGAAATGTCAGGGTTCAAGATCGGCCGTCCATCCGACCACTCACATTCGCTCCTGATCTCAACACCTATATTACATAAGCGCTATAGCCCTAGCAAAAACATAACAATAGAGCCCTTACATTCTTACACAATAGAGGACCTCCAAAGCAAGAGAGAAGAAGAAGAAGAAAACGGAAGAAGAGAAAGGAGTGAAGCTCCGCCCGACGCCGTCGGACCACCGCAGAAGTCTTCACCGACCACCGTCCGGACCACCGCAGGAACCTCGCCGAACACCACCGAAGCCTCACCGGAGTTTCATTGCACCACTGGCCTTAGTCCGACTTCAATCCCGATGTCCTGCTTAACGCCCGACGTTCAGACCCGAGCGTCCTACCTCAAGGCCAAACCACCCAATCTTCAAGTGACACTAGGTTATAATACCTGACTCCTTTCAAAACAGTAACTAGTTGTAATCTAAACACCCCTGGACGTGATTCAGTCCTTTGTAACCGATTCAAAATTCTAGTGGAATCATTTTCAACTGGGCTAGACCCTGTGATTTTTCCCTTTTTCAAGGGTTTTAGGGTTTTCCACGTAAAAAATCTTGTGTTCTCTGTGTGTGAGCTAATTATCCGTGCAACGTTAAGACGCGGAATTAAATCTCTATCGCCGCGTATTTTCTAGCCCGCAACAAGATTATATAATACATTTAAATATTTTTTAAATTCATTCTATATTAAAAATAAAAAATTTATAAAAAAAAAAATCTAAAAATTTTAATTTAAATTAAAAAATCGAGCTCAATAAAGAAGTAATCCAGTCCATAATGAAGGGCCTCTCAATCAAAGCTCTGATCAAGCAGATTCTATAAGCAGACAATGATCATGCAGATTCTATAAGCAGACAATAATCTCTCCTCTCTCGACGTTTGTAGGGAGAAACATGAGATGACTACGTCAATGAAGAAGAGGATGTCTTCTGCAGGTCTTTCGCAATCGAACTTCTTCCAATCAAGCTCCACGATGATGGATGCCCCTTGTATTTCTTCCCACATATACATCCAGTCGGTGCTTGCACAAACCTCTTGAGTTCCGAAAGCCTGAGGATCTATTCTTCAGCTGCCCATGAGCTATTTTGGACAGAACATTGTAAAGAGGTGAAGAGGCCGCCTGCTCCAATGCATCCAGCATAACGACGCACCTTCCAATGGGCTTTCCCTCACTAAGCTTCTTAACTGCATCATCAAAAGGAACAAGTTTTGAACGAAAACCTACCCTTCCAGCAAAGAAAGGTAAGCCAAATTCATCAGAAAAATTATTAGCATAATCATCATAAAGCGTCCACATAAAGCGAGATAATATAACACAGAATCCTGCTTTACGTTTACAACCAAAGGCAAATAAAAGAGGGCCACTAGTGGCATCATTATCGAAATGTTTCATCCTGCAACAGTCAGGCCCATCCGGAACGGATAGGCCGGAAGGGAACTGAAGAACCTCACGGGCGGTCTCAAGGGTGTAGTGGCGATTCAAAAGTCGGCCTGGTGGTTCCATGTTTGCATCAGCGAGGAGACGCATAGCATCAGCATAACAACCACCACCCCGGAACTTGAACGAATATTTATGCCAGTCCACCATCTCACCACCACCAATGAGTTTCCTCAGCCCCGCCACCCATTTACTTCTTGCCTCGCAGATCCAGCTTTCTTTCCTCTGTGATCAGACCGATTCTTGGATGGTTTCGGATCATGTCCGTGCTGAACAGTCGAAGTTCGGAGAAGCGTCCGATACTCGGCTTGGGGTTCTCCCCCAGCTGCCGCTTCTCCCTCAACAGTTTCCCCAGCATCAGGTGGAACAACGGTCTCCAAGGACTCTTATTCAATGTCGCGGATATCTTCCCCACCGGGATCTTCTCTGGAAGCCTTTCTCTTTGTCGAAGTGGATATCGTAACAGGAATGTCTGCACCCACGATTTCCAGGAGGCCACGAAATCGCCTCTCCGCGCGAGCATCCTTGGCGGCTTCAAACTGACCGATCTTCTCAACAATATAGGCGTTCAGCGCCTCAGTATTCCCCTCAATCTTCAGAAATTCCAACATATGGCGTTTGCGGACCACATCGGAGTAAGTATGCACTGCCTCAATCAAACTCTTCTCAGATATAGGAACAGGTACTTTCTTCTGCTGAGCAGTGGCACTTAGATACGCGCCCCATCAAGCTCTGTTTAACTCGGGAACCGTCAGAGGCTGGTAGAACCCTCCTGGTGGGTTACTCTGTTTGATCTCCTCAATGTGAACAGTTGTACGTGCACTGATCTCGCATAGCGCCAACTCATGATATGCGGCCTCTTCCTCCTCACGTCGATGATAGTCAGTGATCTCGTTTGATATGTCATTGATCTGCGCCTCGAGCATGGAGACAGTTCCGACCTCTTGAGCAGAAAGGAGATCACCTCCTCGCTTCGCCAATCTGTTCCGCTGCGCCATCTTGGCAAGAGCTTCCTGACCTGAGGGTGACTTCAAGAAGTGCAGGAAGCAAGTGAACTGATTCATGTGCATGCTTCTGTAGGTCGCAAAGAACTTGTGATTAACACCCAGTTGAAGCAACTGCTCACAACGGTCAACATCTGGAGCATCAGAGAATGGACGAAGTAAGCCAGCGTAGATCGGATCAGTATAACCGGCAGACAGATAGACCTCCTCCTCAAAGAAAGTTGGTCTGACACCCAACTGAACCAGATAGACGGCAGCATCATCAATGAGTGCACGGTTGAGGTTGGGTGCGATTGGGCGTGTGGCAGCTGGGTGAGTCTTGGATGAGCTAGCATCTGCCCTTGAAAACACTAAAGAAATGAAGGGTGTTAGTCGCAGTAAGAATAAAATATAATAATGGAAAACATGAACAAAAGGATACAATTAGGACGAAAGGCATGCAGTCTCAAGATGCAATCCGGTTTGCAAGAATCAATTGTTTATAAGGTACATCTTATGCACATTTTTTTTAGTCTCAACATGTTCGAAAGGTGATTGCTCTATGAAATAATCAAGATACTTGATACCACAATCGATATAGAAATAGAGAAAGTTACAACATGTTTGAATCTGAAGATTAGTATTTGGCATCAAATATTATGCCACATAAGTGAAAATGACATAAAGATCTATCATTTTCAAAATAAATTTTTAGGTTTAAATTCAATTGATTCTAGCTTTTGTGAAATATATATTTTAGGAAAGTAAATAAATGATAGATTTCAAAAATTAGAAGATAACTTAAAAACAAGAAGCCATAATTGGTTCATACAAATGGCTAGGGACCATCCCCAATCCCATCTCTAGGTGGCTCGATGTATTATGTCACTTTCATAGACAATTGCACTAGACATGTATGTATTTATTTCATAAAGAATAATATGTTTAATAACTTGGAAAGAAGAGAATAAAAAACTTAATTAAACATGATAATAGTGCAAAAATTAAATGTCTACGATCTAACAAGGGTGGAGAGTGCAATGGAATAGAGTTCATAAATTACTACAATACTAATGGGATTTGTATGGAGAAAATGTTCCGAGGTGTAACCCCAAAAATCCTACATGCACCAAGGAATCATTATAATCTTATATGTAGCACGTGTTTACCCAATCATCATCCCACTCACACCTTTTTTTCATCCGCCTAGATGGGCATCCTAAGGAGGGGAGGCCTTGGTTGTCTCCTAGCCCCTTGCTAGTTGTGCACGCCTCAGGAGACCTTAGATCTCAGGCCAAATCGTTTGACACATATCAATTCTTCCATAGCTCTTTCCATCCTTCTGATATCATCAAAGGACAAAAAAAAAAAGTATCACATCATCACAACCCATGCACGGATCATAGTTTGGAACATCATGATATGTTAGAATACCACCTAGATCGTCGCTTCCTCTGATACTAACCAAACTTCTATCCCCACAATAGATGCCTAGTCCACATCATCGCTTGCTAACACGATCATATGTAGCCTTGCCAGCCTGTTTCATGTAGTAGCCCCTATCTTCTTATGTTAAACCCACCATCATTATCCACATGCCTTACTCTAGTTTATGGAATTATACCATCCATCAGGTGGCATGGGGAAGCAAGGATAAATGAGCAAAGAGGAAGGGAAGTAGACATATAGATAAAAAGGCATGAAAGGGGAGGAAGGAGAACAATAAAGAAAAGAGACTAGCACACAACAAATGGAAGCAAGATCCATAATTCACTGAGAAAGGAGGAGAAGGCCATCTAGTTCCTCCATCTCCCTAGAGAAAATATTTTTTTCTTTTCTTCTTAACTCAAAAGATAGAGCGTCAATTTTCCCTTGCACAAAAAAAAAATTCTAACTCTCACTTGGCTAGGATTTCTTCCTCATCAATAGCATAGTATTTAGTTCATCTCAATCAAACCATTATAAAATCTCTGGTGTCAAACTCTTCTTATTTTCCTCTCTTGATCGAATCCCATTATAATGAATTTTCTTGTCTACTTATAGAGTTAACACATGGGTGGAATATTCCCATCTCTTTCTAGAAGCCATTGCCACATGTGCTCCCATTACCACTTCAACATGACAAGTTTTATTCATAAACAACCCTATTTGGCACCATTTGTGGTCTTTTGGCCTAAACTATCACATCCTATGCCGAAGAAAGGAGCAATGATGGGAGATTCTCACCCTTGGTTCTCCAACCATTGGCGACTTTCAAGTAATAATGGCTTTATTGCTCGTCATCATGTGAATACCAATATGTATGATATTCATCAACATATCTCCAATCTTACTAATATCATTGAGGTCTCCATGCAACAACCGTCGTTGTCCACAACCCTGCTTGTTTGCACCAAAAATCAAGGAAAATCGGTTGGGATTGGTGACATCCAATCACCACTCTCGGTGTGTCAATAAGTCCATAATTATCTCTTCATGTTAGATATTATTGGGGATGTGGTCCCACTCATATTCAAGGCTCCACATCTAGAAACATCTAAAAAATGAAAAAAATTGCCTCCCCGTAATCACTGACAAACCGATCAATGTCTCCGTTGAGCATCATTGATGCCCTCCATATAATAGCCTGAATTTTATAACTTAATTTGAAACATCTAAAAATTATGGGGTGCGGTGATGTGCTTTATGGAACAGTAGTGCTGGGAGCATTACGACATAGGGTTTTGAGTGAGCACTATGGCGTTGGGCCTTATGGCAGCGAGTGCAACAATGCTGGGAAGTTGAGCGCCTTGATGCCAGGTCAAAATAGTGGTTTTTAAAATAATAAAATATTTAAATCTATTTTCATTAATTGCAATATCTCTCATTATAGTGATTTCCACTATGTAACTTTTGATATGTGATATATATCATCATCATGAATATTTTTATTGATTAATATTAAAATTTAATCAAGTGATTTTACTTGTATGTCATTTTAATTGAAGTTGGAAGAATTGTATTGATTATAAAATAGACGGAAATCAATATACTTTATTTAGACATAACATATATGATATGACTGTATTTATTGTTCCTTTAGTTCAACATGTATTTTTGACATACATGTATACTGATGAGTGTACTGATAATTACATTAATATATATATATATATAATGTTTACTATTATGCTTCATATGATGTGAAATATGTGTTAATAGCAAGAAAGGTTGATTGAAAATGATTGATTGATTCAAATTGGTTAGAAATATGTTACCTTGTACAGGAGGGTGGGTCTAATGGACTTTCCGTTAAATAAGATTTGTGGAGTAATCCTAAATGATATAAAAATGGAGGTATAAGGAGATTGACTGATATGATATGATACGCCGACATGTAGTAAGTGACGACTTCTTACATGGAAGCCACCTGACTGACTTGTGATATGTGACATGCGTCTGATTCGTAGAACCATTACTGATATGATTGAGATTGAATCCTATAAGATTACCCTGCAAGGTTGAATACAAGAAAAATACTACAGATAGCCAGGTGTCCTATCTTGCTTACACTGATTACATTATTTGCATATACATATGTTATAAATGACATGATATAATAAAATATATATATGATAAATATGACTGATACATGCATGTGATATGAGTGATAAAGTCAATACAAGAATATAAAATTCACATGAATCATATGACATACTTGATAATATGATATATATATATATATATATATATACACACACACACAAACATACACACACGAATCAATAATATGAACTACATGATTTACTTAATACAATACATTGGATATATAACATGAGATACATGCATAACAAAAATACTATACAATATACATATGAATATGACAGGTTTACAGATTCCCTAAACTAATATATAGATATAAATTATTTTGTAACCGAGGGATATAGAAATGTTATAGCATACTGATCATTTATATGATTATTATTTACTGACCACTGCTCATAAGATATACAGCTTGCCCTGATTATTAATGATCATATGATATGATTTTATTTACATTAGCTGCTACATGCTTTATAGTTATATGAACATACTGATATTGATTGAACGATTACATGCATATTGTTTATATTGCCTTACATTGATTGCAGGGATATGTTCCGGTAACCTAATGAGTTGTTAGCTCACTCCGCAATTTTACCTATTTTTCATGGAGGGGCCGGGACCTAGTGGAGTGGAGAAGAACAGGTTCCAGGTTTTGCTTTTTTTTTTTTTTAATAATTTTAGTTTTATACTTTTAAAGTTGAGGTTGGAAAGAGAGATAGAATGATGTATTATTTGACCTTCTGATTTTTGTACATGAATTTTGAGGAAATGAATATAATTTTAAACTTTGTTGTATATGATTTATAGTTACTTTTGTTGTAGTGATTTATATAAATGAATTAATATAAGTTCTGGTGGATGAATTAGAGGTTAAAATTGACAGTTCTTCCAAATTTGAAATTGATCTTTTTCAATACTCAATAAAACAAAAGTATTAATTATTTAATATATCAAATATGTTTTTATTTCACATTTAAACATAAAAAAAAACAAATCATAAAGTAAAATAAAAAATAAAACAAAAAAAACAAATCTCAAGAGCTTTAATTTTTAGTTGTTGGGTGGATGCACCAAGATGAAGAGCTACTACATGGACTTCCAATATATTATTTTATGTCAATTTAGTTTTCACCACTATGAAGAGAATTGAGTCTTCTACTGAGCGAACTCCTTAAACATGACATACAATATGATGATACCGACAACCTGATGGCGAGATTGTCAACAAAAAAGTTGTTTCAGGCTATCCAAATGTAAAATCCATCAGAATGACTTTCAAAACTCCTAAATTTATGTCAAGATTTGTAACATATGTAATATTATGAATTCTACTAATATCATCATAAATTCATAAGCCTTGATATTCATCATAATATATTTTGCATTAAGATATGTTGATGTAATGCTTTTTTGAGGTTGTAGAACCCATAGAGGTGATTGATAACCAGCTAAAGTTTATCCCTTTTTTTGAGGTTGTAGAACCCACGGAGTTGTTGACCTGCAACTGCCGGAGACTCACAGACCCCAACTACCACGATCGGACCGAAACCACCCACGATCTCAAATCACGCTCAAAACTACCACCTCTCACGACACAAAAACGATCCCTCTTCTCATTCGGCTCTCTCACGCACACAGACGCTCTCAGAACCAGAGGCACACAGAGAAGGAAGAAATCAAGTTTCGAAACTTACATTTCATTATTCCCGTTGAAGCCCGTCGACCTTCGCGACCGTGCTTCCTTCTCCGAGTCCGACCCAACCACCTACTGCCTACATCTCTTGCTCCGGCCTCCAAATCTCCTGCACCAGAAGCCTAAGCCGACAACCGATGCTTTTAGCCACCGACTCCTCTGCACGGCGAGGCTAAACCGTGCCCTAGCCAGCCTCCAATCTTCTCACAAACTGCCAACACCTGCTCCTGCCGTCAACCGCCTGAGCCGACGTCGCCTACCTCCCGCCTGAGACGCCGCCGCCAGCGAAGCCGACTCTAGCCTTCGCCGTGCGTGGCTTCCGCCCGATCGGGCTCTCTCCCGATTTTTTCCCTCCCTCTCTCTATATAATACATATATAATAATAATAATATATTATTATATTTTATTATAATAAGTATATTATATTTCCAAAATTTTGGAAAAATTAAAAAACATATTCAATTAATTAAATCAATAATTAATAATCAATAAATTGAATAATCTAATTTAAATAAAATCATATTATTAATCAATTGATATTCTAATTAATTAAATAAAAAAGGAGGATTTTTAAATAGATATGAAAACTAGCAATTTGAAGGAAGTCCCGGGTTTATCCGGTCCCCCGAAGCTCTCAGTCGTCAAGCTTATCCGACAGAGGGATTAAAGTCTTGAAGAACCAATCTCCTCGCTGTTAATTCACTCTGGCCGAGTCGAGTCACTCTTTACCTTTTGGCGCCAGGGAGAGGATGCCGGAAGGCTGTCAAAATTTTCAGTGAAAGCAAGTGACTTAAAACTAAATGAAATTGGACTTGATTGAACCAAAGACTTGGACATAATTTTAAACAATTAAAAGATCCTCGCATGATATAAAAAAAATAAAATGGTGATGAAGAATGATTTCTAAAATGATTGTGATTATATTATATCCAAAAGCTATTTTAAAAGTCAAATTTAAATCATACAATCACCAATCAAAAAATCATTTGGTATATGTTAAATACAATTAGGTTATTAAATCCAACCTAAGGTAGTAATTACTTGCTAGTAGTCTGACGTCGGAAGTCTCCTTCCTCATCTAAGCTACTATCAACAACTAATCCACCCTCAGGTATCAAGTATCTATGAAAGGTAGGAAGGCGTCGGGGTCTGCTCGTTGGTCTCAAGGTGAGAGAGCCGAGCGAACACAGAAACCCGACAGGAAGAAAAGAATCGATAAGTACGGAATGACCTAGAAGGCCGGAAGGAAAGGAACCACCCAAGCTAAGCAGGAAACCTAACTAAGAAACAAATCCTAACTAAGAGTAGGACGAACCTTATCTAAGGAGTACCAATTATAAAGTACACACAAGAAAGAACAATATAAGATCCAAAGATGGAGAGAGAAACGAGTCTCACCGTGGTCGCCAGAAACCTGTGGACCTCAGAAAGAACACCGCTCGACTGCAGAGTGCAGAGGGTATACGACCGCACCATCTCGAGGGATAGAGATGATTGCAGGCCTCCGTGCTCCTTACAGAAGGCCCAATAGAATGACAGATTATATTATACATACGACTAACTATTGAGGATAGCGGTTTTCGCCTACGCACCATGATAGATAGTAATATATACGACCTGATCAAAATAACGGGTTTCCCCCACCCAATACATCAACTCCAGTGGGGTTTATTTGATGGTGAAGTTTTGTTTCCCACATGCGCAAGCCCCTGTGGTTAATTACATCTCAAGCCTACGGCTCGAGAAAACTCTCGATTAAGGATTCAATATTATTCTTCCCGGATAATGGATTGTTACACAAAGGGGAGACTAGAAAATCCTACTCAAAGGGAAAGAAAGGGTTCAAATGGTTTAGTCAACATGCAGGATTCATACCAACATCTGGAGGGACTAAGGCATTGAGGGGAGAAAGAAGATCACACACTCCAAGCATATGAAGGGGAAAGATGGAAGTGACGTCATATGTGTGACGTGGTTAAGTAAGATTTATAGTCCCTGAAGAGAAGGAACTTATCCACTATTTAGGTATACTACGAGACACCCAATGTTATACTCAATACTAACACCTATGACCTAACTAATGCACATGAGCTTATACCCTACTTGAAAAGGGATGTCAGGCTATTTTGGCCATGGTTTGATTAAGAGACCAAGAGGGAATGATTAAATGCATTGAATAGGTTTACATTGACCTAAATAAGTCAATTTTGACCAAGGAAAACTTGGGTTGACTTGGTCAACCTAGTCATTTAAGTCCATAGAGTAAAGGGATTGAGCCAAGGATGAGCTTGGATTGAATTTGAACTTAATTTGACCCAATGGGGCTAATTGGGTCAAACTAGGTTGACCTGGCCAACCAGGTTGACCAAAGGTACATGCCTAGGCCTAATGGGTTGGGTCTGGTCCATTAGGTTCAGTGGGGGTGAGAATTGAGGTTGAGAAGTTTAGAATTAGATCTGAATCAAGAAGAAGATATTTGGGTCAATTTGGGTCAACCCGGGTTGACTTGGACCAGGTTGACCCAAGGCATGGGTCTGAGCTCAAGAGACTTGGTCTAACCCATTGAACCTAAAGAAGGTGGTCTTAGGGCCTGACTTGATCAATTTGACCAGGTCAGCCCTTTGACCCAAGGTTTGAGAAAATGGAGGTCAACATTGACATTACTTGAAGTATAAAATGCGCCTCAAAATCTTACGAAAATACAAGTGATCTTAATGTCACCCCGATGATGGCCATGTTGACAGAAAATTTCAACCGAAGGGGTCAAATCTCAAATCCAACAAAAGTATAAATCTCTGAAAAGAAATAAATCACCTTAAAACTGAAACAAAAAATCATCCACCTTTCGCAACCGTTTGTCGGGGGTGATAAATTTGAAATTAACCTCAGCTCACAAAGAACGAATGTGTGTCGGGTGTATCACTATGATTCATCCTCAAATAATCTCTTACCAGCAGGGACATGGCACGTGAGATCTGATCGAGTGATTTTGCCGCAAAATGGCACCATTATATTACAATCACGGCCAAAGCCCGTATGTTCCCTAAAGGCTTCAAATCCTTGAGTTATGAATCATAGGGTATATTCGATGGACATAAAGTCCTCTGTCAGCTAAGGTGGATTCAGATATATCCCCTTAGACAAATACTAACCCATGTCTACAAGGTATTCTTGGACGAAGCAACACATGGCTGTCGATAAGATACCTTTTGTGAGGTTGGGTCGACTACCTCATCTGACTAAGTATATCAGGGATCATGGTAGTCCGGGATGACAGAACCATGAGATCTTGATTGGGCTCGTCATCATTACCCCCACCATCAGTTTTAAGTTTATGTTGATAAACCTTAAATTCTTAAATTTCAAAATTCAAATAAAAAATTCAAACCCTAAAACTATTGTTATTATACGATAGGTTCATAACATATGTAAAAAAATTAAAAAAAAAAGGTTCATAACATATGTGACCGCTTTAATAACTAGCCTTAATCGAAAATTCTCTCTTATTATTAGGAGGGGTAATTAACTATAGGGGCTTGCGCATATAAGAAACTAGAACTCAGATAAAAAAGTCCTCACAAAATGAGAAATCTCTGGGTAGTGTGTTATCTAAAACCTAATATGCCTTCTGAAAATTCAACCGAAACCTAATCTCGTTAGAACTCTCTCCCGTCATCATTACACTAAAATAAATATAAAAATAGACTGACCCCTTTTTAAAGACTTGAGGACTCCATCAAAATAGTTGGGGACTATTTTGATCACTCACAAAGAGTTGATGGATCATTTTGATCTTTTTCTTATAACTTAATATACTAGTAATAGAAGTTATTTAAAATGAGTTAAGCCTTATACTTTTTTCCTTTTCTTAATTTTCCTTAAAAGAAATTATGTATCATTTGTTTCTTTTACTTCTGTAATTGTGTGGAATGCATTCAAAGCTAATTCAACCAAAAATCTCACTTTATCAACCAGTAATTTATTCATTCTCATAACAATCAATCACCTCTCTTTCTATCACCTTCTTAAGCTTTAAACCCCTCTTAAAACTTAGTAAGTTTCAACCAGTGTTAGCCAACTAGAAAGTAAATTATTCATACTAACATGCGCAATTAGAATAATAATCGTTCGTGTTAGCAGCAAATGTGTTGCCAAAAGGAGAAAAATTGTTCATAACAAGCAATCCTTATTCACCATCAACTGTTAGCAAAACAGAGTAACAAAATCAAAGGCATCTCAAATTAATTGTACTCGATAACATAGTTCTTATCTAAGAAGAACTCTCAATTGTTCATATATTCAAAAGCAACAAGCAACAATTTCTTCTCCAATGGTGATTGAAAGCATCTTAAAGAGAAATACTAGCTGCATTAAAATGGTATCACTGTCAAATATAAGAATAGAATGATATGAAGTGCATTTTTTTTAAGAGCAGAAACAACTGAACCTCGGTCATCATGTACTTTAGGCCTACCACCCGCTGCAGGCTTTCACATGGCCTTTGCGTTGTCTAGCCTCACAATGTTTCCTTTTCTTTGCTAACAATTTTACAAAGTGCCAAAGCTGCTGGCACGGTCTAGATATAATTCTCACCTTAGTTTCATTCAGTACAATCTCATATCCATCTTTTAATGAGTCCAGTCCTTCAACAAGGAGTTGCCAGAAGAGGCTGCCTGCTGCTGCTCCTCCTGTTCTTGCAGAAAAGTATACTTTAGAGTAGACTGTTCGAAAAAGAGCATCTCTTTTGGATCTGCTGTACCCAGGATCCTTCCAGGATTTGCCGAACTCAGTTACAAGAAGCGGCTTATGAAGAATGTTGCTGGCATCTTTTATGTGAGCATCAAGCCAGTTGTTCAAAAATTGAAGCTGGGATTGATCACTGGAGTTTGCAATCCTAATAATGCGAAAAAGATCAATTACAAAAGCAATGAAGAAGAATTGCAGGATAAAATGTTAAATTTTGAAATCAAAGCCATTGCTTCTTCTGGCTCATCAACAAAGAAGCAATGCAATCGTTCTGCTAGAGCTCAAAGCTTTCATTCAAATGAATGATAGAGGACTACTGGGCTTAAATGATCCAAGAATATAAAAGAAGCGTTGTGCAGGTTGGATTGATACGTCTCATTCGCATCAACGTTGTTATTTATTATGTTAGGATAGAATCTTACCATTGGTCTGGATATGAATGGAGTGTGGCGAAATCAATTCCTGAAATCTGATTATTGGCGATAAAGTCGGTTCCCACTTGGAACCCAGCAGGATTTATTTGCAATTCAGAAGGTGTTGAGGGCCCATAAAATCCTTCCAAACCAGCTTCAAGCAAGTGATTTCTATCTATGGATTTTACATGAGCAGCCATTTCAGTGATCCATGCCTGGAATTAAAAAGCAATAGCTGAATAAGTGCGAGTATAGCTCATGCAATATATGAGATTATCAACTTAGTAATTAATTTTCCATACAAAGGGGAATGCCATGCTGTTTACCAGCTATCAGAGGCATTTTTTGAGTTTTAGAACTGTCCCATCTCTTCTCGAAAGACAGAAAATAATAAATTCCTTTGGACAGATTTGTTTGAGTTTTCAAGAATTACAAGTGTTCATATAAGAAAAACCAAAGACGACCAAGCATTGCTAGTTTTCTTTCAAGAAGGAATAAATTCTCTTTCATGCTGATGAAAGATGAATACAAAGCAACCAAAGAGCTCTAACATAGTTGCAAGCTCTCCTGCTTCTAAGGGTATAGGTCTCAAGATCGAGTTTAGGCACCATGTTAGTTTTAAAATTGCTCTATACATGGAGTTCGTAAATCTGTAATTAGTAATGTAACCAACAAACAATAAATAAAATAACTTAGGAAAATTTTCTATCCTTCTAAGAAAGATGAATTCAATGTTAAAAGGTAAAATCACGGCTTTTTTATCCTTTCTACCCAAATAAAATATAGTTATGGCACTGTTCTCAAGTGATGAACAACATTATTCTAGATCTTTGTGGCCAGACTGGTTCTGAGAACAAACTAACATGCAATACTATATGGGATTTGATAGAGGCTTCGTTTTAAAAAAAAAAGATAGAATTCCCTTAGCATGCATAAGAAACAGTTGCTAAGTGATAATAAGAAAGAATGTGCTTCATAGACAGCTTTGATCAATCTGATAAATAAGTTAATCTTTTCATGGCTAGGATTAGCTGGAAATTTAATATCTTAAAAGTTTAGCTATAAAGCACATAAAAGCCAACGAGATAGTAAAGAAGTGGTTGCTACCTGTAAAGTTTTCCCAGACATATCTGAAAGGCATCTGGGCTCATTCATGAGCTCCCATGCAAAAATTGTGGGGTCATCCTTGTAAGCAACTCCAGTTAAGGTGTTATGTCGTGTGAGCAAGGTCTTCTTGCAAGGTAAGGTTGTAGAGTGATTAGAATCAAATTGTAGTATTTAAATTTTGAAGCAGATTAAAATTTCCTAAAGATGAAAAAGACAAGCTCAAAATGATATATGTACCAAGAACAACAAAAGGTATGTGATTCTTTGTGATAAAAACAAAATAAAAATATGAAACGATTTTATTGCTGAACGAATCTGGAATTTTCAAAAATATTAGTAGGATGACAAGATAAAAAATGAAGACTTACATGAGAAACTAAGGATAAAACACAAAAAGAAAGATAAGAAAATGCGCATGTTTGAAAGTTGCAATGATGTCGGAGAGAAAATAGGAATGAAAAGATATCTTACTGCATAACTTTTTTAAGAGAAGAATAGGAAGTATTTTATACAGCTTGAAAATCTCTATCGAAGTAGGCAAATGTACATAAGATTTTACAAGTTATTGAAGCATGTTCAGGGTCCCAAATAGGCACACTGGCAATCCAATAATACGTAAAATAAAATATAAATTCCAAGGAGAATGATATAAGTATAACTTTTGGAAATTTTGATCCCTCTAACAAAATGAGAAAGCACCATAGGTAGGCATTTTCCTTAGTAATTATTCATAAATTAGATGTCTATGTTAACAAACTTAGGGGCGTAAATGAGTTGAGAGCTCGCGTCATTTGTAACTTAGGCTTAGCTTGATTAATTAATCGAGTTTGATCTTAATTTTAGATTTGAATTGGCTCACAAACTGGCTCATTTATTATGAAAAGAAGAGAGTAATTGTGATTCAAATAATTATTATAATAAAATAATAAAATAATAAATAATCACTCCACCTAATCGGTTCTTTTCTCTCTTATTAAAATTCCAGATACCTTAGTCAAACAGTGGTTGGGGCACATTCCATATCACCCCACCAACCAAGCACAAAAGGGTTAAAAAAACATCACAGTAGAGAGCACTTTAGCAAATAAAAAAAATCTGGTTTGAATGTGTGCATACCTTAACATGATTCTTGTAATATCCTTTAACAACATTATTAGTAAAGAATTCATCATCAGACCCAATGCTCTCTCCCTGATTCCGTGCCCACTGCACATACTGCTTCTTCCCTCCAAAGTCGTCATAGTTATTCACGAAGCTAAGAATAAGCTTCATGCCATACCTCCTTGCCTCAGAAATCACAAAATCCAAGCCCTAAATCAAAGCAAAGCAAATCAAGTTTTTTTTTTTTTTAACCCACCCAAGCAAAACAAAAATAAAGAAGGGGGAAAGAAGAAGAAGAAGAAGAAGAAGAGATCAGTCTTTCAAAATCTCCAGAACCTTGAACATTTGTTCATTGTAAGATCCAGGAGAGTATTGCAAGGCATTGCTACCACCGTCATTGAAAGCCCAAGTTCTGGCTAAAGTGAGTCCATTGATCGAAGCTTCTTTAAAGGCAATGGAAACTTTGTTTCTCTGAGAGGGATCCGATGCCATGTTCATGAGCCAATATGCATTGAACCCATTGGCAAAGAATGGATTTCCATTAAGCACAAAATGGACTCCATTTGTCCCGATGAAGCTACCAGCTGCTTGAGCCTGCTGATTGTGATCCAAAAGAAAATTAAGGAAAATTCCTACAAGAGTAACTCTAATCATCCTTACCTTACTCTTTGTGAGGAGCAATCTTGGTCTTCAAAAGGCCTTCTTTACTCTCTCTTATATAGAAGAACATGAAGGAGGTGGGGATCTGAACGCACCTTCTTGTGAAAGTACCGAAGATTGTTTCTCTACTGTGGCGCCTACTCCAGTCTTATCGCTGATCAATCAAAAATTAATAATGCGCCTGCGAACCGCTTCATTGCTAAAGTCTAGAATACTAAAATTGATGTCTGTGTGTCACAAATTATTAGGTGCTCGAAGTCTTAAAAGTTGGATAACATAATTGTATAATAATTTAACGCGTCAGTGTACAGTTATATATTCATGTGATATCTAAATAGAAAGGCAGATATGTAGCTGCAGCAAATTTCGGTTTCTGTTTTCTTAATTTCAGCATTGTATAGCACATATAATCACTTCGAAGGTTATAAGCATGAAGGTTGTAACTTGTCCTGTGCAATTTACGTGGTATATATACCCTTTTTTGTAAAGAAAACTTTTGAAAAAGAAATGAGAGAATTTACAGAGCTGAGTTCTGTTTGTGTATCCTGGAATGGTGACATCTCTGTGTGGTGGTTGTTCATCTTCATTGTTTCTTTCTATTTTGTTTTCTTCAATTTGGAGTCATATTCCCGTGTCATTTGGTATCAAAGCTCAGCAAGAAGACGCCTCGACGAATTAGGCAGTAACCCTTTCAAGAAATCTTTCTTGATTCAAATTTTGAAGCGGGAGATTCGTAACTGGAAAGAAAGACTCACCGTGTTCGAGGATCTGCGTACTTGCGGAAAGGCGGAGTGGAGTAGAAGAGGAGCCTCCTGACGAAGAGGAAGTGTGGTGCTGATCTCCATCCAGCACATCGAATACTTGCTGAACGCCCACTTTACCAACCAGTTCAGGGTAATCTCCATCCTGCCAACATATTCGCCAAATCATTTTGAACCAACTCATTTATTGTGTCAACCAAACCAAAAGGTTTAAAGTTCTAGTCTTTGTGTATGCGTTGTGTGTGTGAATTTGACTTAAATGACCTAAATGTCAAAAAAAAAAAAAAAAAAAAATTGTGTCACCTTTCCCCAAACCAGTGTCAACTTGCCCCAAGCTAACAAATAGTGACATAGGGTGCTCTTGCCTTTCCACTATATACATGCTATTTCAAGTTCACAAATGCCTTAAATGTATCCATTCCATATCGTGTGGTGTTGGTGGAGTGGCTTGTTGGAGAGCCCACTTGGCAGAGAAATTATTATGTGCGGAGTCCAAATATGTCCGGACTCAAATAAAAATATGCATGCGTCTTTGTACATAGTGTGTACAACTGTACATACTATGCATAAATAACAAAATTATGTATATAATATGTATAAACTTACATACATAATGTACATAATGTACATAATGTGTACGCATTGTGTACAAAATTTATACACACTGTGTACAAGGACACGTGTTAGGTTTTTATTGGAGTCAGGTCGTAACTCTGTGTCCGGACTCGCACGTAATAATTTCTCCACTTGGTGAGGGTTAAAGTAGCTTGTTATCCTTCATAAGAGTTGATATCATAAAAAAAAAATTATCTTGATCGGCATGAATCTTGAGACAAAATCAAATGGAAAACTTACAAAATTAAATACAGAATCATATGAATTTCAATTTCAACAAACATATAGTTGAACTGAACGTCTCGAAAAGATGGATCCATGACACCAAATTCGACTCAATCCAAGCCCAAATGGGTGCATATCAAACTCAAAGCGTCTTTGGAAGGTTTAAACAATAAATTTGATGACCAAACAATTTCCAAACATAACATGCTTATAGTAGAATCGAGTGGCTCGACGAGACAAATCCAACGAGCATAAGATTGTTGGATTCTGATATCATTAAGACATTCAAACACCCACAATCAAGGGGATTAATATCAGTCGTCCATTCAAACCACTCTCAGCATACCCTTGATATCCCTTCTATTTACCGATTATGCCACTATCATAAAACTATAAATAGATCCCTTATTTCTCATGGAAGGGGGACCCAAGCAAGGAAGCAAGGAAGCGAAGGAGGAAAAAGAAACTAGAGCTCTCTTACCACTAGACTCTTCCTCAACCACAGTTAGACCATCGACTGTCGCCTAACGCTAAACTTCCGCCAAGCCACCGACTGACACCGGATTTTTGCACGGGCATCGACTGACGCCGAACTTCCATCCGGCCACCAACTGACTTTGGATTTACACCATGCCACTAACTATAAACAGTTCTTCCGACCTCCAAACAACAGTCTCTCTGACCAATGTCGCCCGTCAACTAAGGACCTTCCGACCTCCGTTGTCAGACAACAATTTTTCTAACCAATGTCGTCCACCGACTACGATCATTCTGACCTCCATCTTCAAATTATGATCCTTTCGACATCCATCACCTGACCACGATCTTTTCAACCTCCATCGGTCGTCAACTACGATCCTTCCGTCCTCCAAACAACGATCTTTTTGACCAATGTCGCCCATCGACTAAGGTCCTTCTGACCTCTGTCACCAGACAACGGTCTATCTAATCAATGTCGCCCACCGACTATGAACATTCTGATATCCATCGTCAGATTATGGTCCTTCTGATCTCCATCATTTGATAACGGTCTTTTTGACTTCCATCATCTGCCGACTATGGTCCTTCCGACCATCGTTACCCAACTATGATCATTCCAACCTCCGTCGCCCATCGACCATGGACCTGCTAACCAAACAAACATGACAATACTGTTTCTTCAATTCTCACTATGTAATACACACTTTATGATGTTCATTTGCCACATCAAGCCAAGGCCTTCCCCCTAAGGATGTGCCACTTTTTTAATAAACTACAAATACTACTAGATTCATTCAAAATCGTGCCAGGCCCCTTGACTTTTTCTCTTTTTAGGGGTTTCCATGTAAAACTCTGGTGTCTCTTATAAATGTTGCACTCTCTCTTTTATTTGATTATGTGATGGATCTTCATACAAAGCTAACACGTTAAACTTTATATTTCTCTATCGCTACGAATATTCTAGGATGTAACAAGAGTCTTTATAAACTCTCCATACTTTCATGCTTGGTCTGCTTTTACACTTCTTAGCAACTTGGCTTGGCCAACTACTCACTCTATGCATGAATCACTTAATTAAATTATTTAATTGCCTTTAATTCTATTATTCGTTGAACACACAAAATCCATAATTCAAATACTAAGTCTTAAATTTATGCCATTGCAATACCAAATAAAGTTTTCACACTCATAATTAAGTAAAAAAACATAAATAAAACTCTCTAGCTTAGGGTCTTCAACTTGCTCATGGTGATAGGTCTACTACACTTAATGATAGTTTTTTTCTGGAATGAACCCAAGTGGTTAGACCCTTTTTGTAATATAGTGTTTTTGATGCTTCTAGTGCTACACTTTAATGACTTGGATCGAATCATAATACATGATTCATAAAATAGGTCATCATTGAACTATACTGAGAATCACAACTCTTGAACAACTTAATGAAACTAAAATATCATATTCTTTTTTATAACATTGATTTTTTTGTTGTAGACATTCTTCATCAAATGGCGAAGAAACTTTGTGCATTGCATGGAAAGATCCTAGTCAAATTTTCTTCCACTCTATTTAGTGGAAATAGGTAAAAAATTCAAATCACAATAAACAAAAATTTTTTCAATATAAATAAAAAATTTTGTGTTGAATTCAAAGAGCTAATGAACCAACCCCAACTTAACTCATTATCTCAAGAGTTGATTTATTTAGTATTATATTTTATTTCTATATATACTAACATTCAAAACTTAAGGTAAAGTTTTAAATACTTTAAATTTTCAAAATTCTTTTCGGATATATTTTTTATTTTTTGTTGAATATATGGTTTTGATTTAGGTTTCCTTTGGGACGTCTTACGACTTTCTTATTGCTTTTTAAAATAATTTTCTATTAAAAAAATTTTTTAGTTTAAAAAAATTTTATACTAAAAAATTATTTTACGAAACATTAACTAAGCAGTCCCAAACGAAGCCTTAATTTATTATGGTATATGGTTTCTTGGGTATGTTGATCAGTAATGATTTTTACTGATTACCTTTCATGATTATATGCTTTTTAGAATATGAGTACACATTGCTATTTATATAACTTGTTTTGTTTAAGCCTACTATTTGGTTGGCTATGTAGAAATGGAACAATTATTACGTCCTCCAATCGGATGCAGAGGAACATCCGGTTGTAGGCAAAATCGCGCCTATACCGAGGTGTACCGAGTTTTTTCAAAGTTCGTAGAAATGGGTTCATAAATAGGCATTTGGCATGTTGTAAGTTGATTCTCTGTCATTTTGAATTATCTATAATAAAGCTCTATGCACGGCTTAGATCCCAATTTTATTTCTATAGTTACTTCTCTCAAGATAAATTAAATTAAATTCTTGTACTCAGATCCCAATTTTATTTTGCACTTCCAGCCTGTTGCCCTAAATTACTGATTGTTCTAAATTATTGTTCTTCTCGTAAACTTCTAAAAATCCTCGATCTCTAAATAAGCCACAGGCTTCATGTAGACACTAGAGATCTACTTATAATATTTTCAGTGGTATGTCCCATACATATAGTTAAAATTTGAAATACCTATCAAATGGCTTATATGATTCCCTTGAATATTGATTCTTCTTTTAGCATTTAAATATCTTAATAATGATGAAATTTAATAATTTTAGACTATTTGAATTCATAGAGATTCAAGCTTTTGTCATACCTCAATTGTTGATTCCTCCTTATCAATTTTCCTTTACACTTCATCACCAAGTGAAAGGAAATTAAGTTGCAGCACTATTGCTTTTGCTCTGTTAGTCATTACAACAAATCCTTCAATGGTGATGACATTTAAAAGATCATGATAAACCAATAGCACTTTCATTTTGATATGCAAAAGGCTAAATCATTCTCATAAGTGAATTTCTTTTTCTAAAATTTTTACATCGACATCCTCCTTTCTCAACAGGCTATAATACCAATTGTTGTGAGTATGAAGGGGGGATAAGACTTTGACTTGAGATTTAATAGAGCTAAAAAACTTAAAGAATCCTGGAGCTCCGTTGCTTGATCATCGTTGTCGGGCAATTGCATGACCATTATCATTGAACAATTGCCCAATCATCGCCAATAGACCATCATGTGATTACCACAATTAAACCACCACTTAATTATCGTTGTTAGACAGTTGCTTGACTGCCATTATCAAACCACCATATGACCGCACCATTGTACTACCTCTCGACCATTATCGTTGTGCCACTTCCTAATCACCACCATCACCATTAAACCATAGTAACTCCACAACAATCCTCAGACCAACATTACCAAAACTTTGGTCCTTCAACCATGGTAACTCAAGTATGTTCACTTAACCACTATCTCTCAACTTCAGACCTTTGACCATGTCATGTTGCTTGACTACTATCACCATACCACTATTGTTTATCCTCTAACCTCCGTCACTCAGCTACAATACAATTGCCCAACTACAATTCTCCAACAAGTACCCTCCAAAACAATCTATCAACCATCATCATCTAACTACGATCTCATAACCACCATCGCTAGACAACAATATCCCGACTACTATTACTTGACCATGGCCCTCCGACCATTCTCATCCATCTATAATTACCCAACTACAGTCACCAGACTAAAATCATTCGACTACAATTACCTAATTAATGTCCTCTAATCACCATCATCTAACGATGGCCCTTCATCCACAATTACAAACTACAGTCCGTTGATCCTCGATCATTACTCAACTATGATTCACTAACCACCACAACCCAACTAGAATTATCTAAACACCATGTCATGACTATGACCCTCCAACCATTATCATCAAACTATAATCCTCCAACCTTTGTCGTTCGATTATGATCCTCCGACCACCTTTATCTTACTATGGTCTACCAACCACCATTCACATCTATGATCTTCTAACCACCATCATCTGATTTTGATCATCTAACCACCATGGCTCGATTATGACCCTTTAACCATTGTTTCTCAATAATGAACCTCTGAATAATATCGGCTAAGTATGGTCCTTTGACCACCATCACTCCATCATGGTCCTTAGACCATCAGTGCTTAACTTGGATCCTCTCAACATCATTGCTCGATTATGTTTCTACAATCATTGTCACTCTATTATGGTTTCATGACTAACAATGCTTGAATATGATCCTCTAACTACCATCACCCAACTATGGTTCTCTGATACAGATCACTTGACTTTAGTCCTCTAAAAGCCATCACCCTATTTCAATCCTCCGACCCCATCACCCAATTATGGCCCTCCAACCATCACTGCTTGATTGTGATCATTAGATTGTCGTCACCAAACTATAGTTCTTCGACTATTATTGCCCGATGGAAATCCTTTGCCTCTCATATCCTGATTATTGTCTTTCAACCACTATTCATTTACTATGTTCCTCTAACCATTATCACATGGTTATACTAACATTCACTAACTTCATCACTCGTCTTTGCCAATAATGTCAATGTTTGTCATCGCTCGAAAGATAGAAGCATGCCTTCAACATTAACTATGATTCTCCATGTTAGCACTAGAATTTATGATATACTTCTTGTTCCTTGGTATCCTTTCAAATAGGTACAACTGAACAAATAATATGTTATTTAAAAAAACACCAATGCTAAATTTCTCCCCAACTTTCACAATCATAAAATATAAACATTGTATGCCTACTACAATATATAATGCCTTCTCCAATCACAAGAAAGGGTATCATTTGCAACCAATAAAAAATACTAGTACAATCATTTAACTGGACAAGGCCCCATCATTTTTTACTTATTTTAGTTTTCTATATAAAATGCTCTATGCATCAAGTGGTCCATATATTGTAAGGTTTCATAGTGATCACTTCCATCGATAATTTTGTTTTATTTTATTTTTATTTTAAGTTTGAATGCATTCATTGTCCATTCTAATGTCAATAGTCTTAGGTTACAATATGAAGGGGATGAAAGGAGAACCTTATGCTTGAAATCGAATAAAATTTGAACCTTAAATTAAGTCTCGGTCCTTGATCAAATAAGATTTGAACATCCTTTTTAAACATAAGGTCAAGCATTAGATTTGCAAATAGTTTCAAACAATATACAAATTTGTAATATGATTTTCAAACCTTGTTAGTTTAAAACTTATTTAAACAATGTTTGAACCACATACGAACTGTGTTCAAACTATATTTGAACTAGATTCAGACAATGGGCAAACCTATTCAAACCATGTTCTTTAAAAGGTCATGTAATTCTTCGTCTTGCTTTTCAATGCTTGAAACCTACAATCAATCTTATTTGAAACTTTGAACCTTCGCCCTCTTTTTCTTTTGGTTCAATATTTGATTCAATTTTCAAAATCTTAGCTATAACACAACAAATTATAAGATTAACATTGTATAATATAAAATTACAATAAGAATCTTAGCATTAAATGAAATCAATTATAATATTTTGCAGTAATACATTAAAGACAATCACAATAAATATAACACAACAGATTAGAACTTTGATACAGTTTAATATAGTCACTATCTCTATAATGCAACACAATTGGACTGACCCTTATGAGTCTCTGGTGAGTGTTCTAGTATTGAATTACTTAAAATGATGGTCATGATACATAGAAGTTCTTACGCTGGCGGGTTCCTTTATTTCGTCCTACTAGGGCTTTTGCCCTAACCATTGTTGAAGGTGGTTTCGCTCCGGCGCCTTCGGCGCCTTCGAGCTGAGTGGAGTTTTTTTTGGTCTCTTCTCCGTCCATTCTTTCGTCTGGTTGTTTTTGTTTGCTTTTTTTTTCTTTCTTTGGTGCTATGATGAATTTTGTTAAGCGTTTAGACCCTGGCTTTCTGGATTGTAAGAATCGCTCATAATCTTTCAAGGAGGTTTTGTCTGGATCTGATGCGTCTAAGGAGTTTCCAGATCTGCAAGTCACTATGATTCGAGGTTTGCCGACTTTATGGACTTCAGAGGATGAAGTTCTTCATCTTGCTAAGCCTTTTGATTTCATTTTAGTGTTTTTATTGCGGCGTCCGACATTATACTTGATTAGGAGGTTTTTTTTTTTCAACCTCAAATTATCAGGTAAGTTTTCTGTTATTCTTTTGGATCAGAGCAATGTCTTAATCAAACTTTCTAATGATCTCAACTAAGGTAGGATTTTTGTGCATAGATCATACTTTGTTTTTGGTTATTTTATGAAAGTGATTAAATGGACGTCATTCAAAGACCTATCGGAGGAGTTTTCGATTGTCCCTATCTGGATTTCCTTTTCGGAGCTTCGCCGTCATCTTTTTTCTCCTCGCATACTTTTTGGTATGTGGCCTTTATTTGGTCGTCCTCTTCATATCGACAATGCAACTGTTGTGGGTTCGTGGCCATCATTTACTCATATCCTTGTGGAAATGGACATTTCTAAAACTTATCCTGATTCAGTTTAGCTTGGCCTTGAGAAATTAGGATACATTCAGAAAGTTGTTTTAGAGGATTTTCCAAGTTACTGTCTTCATTGCAAATCTACGGGGAATAAGAAGTCTGAATGTGTTAAACTGTTTCCTCATTTAAGGCAGGTTGTTGCTTCTGTTCAGCCTCTTGTGGTGTCTTGACTTATTCCAGTTGTGAACTCTCCTTTGGATCTTATTGATCCCTCAGTTCCTACAAATTCCCTTCCCCCTACCACTATTATTTTTGCCCCTATCATTGCAGAACTAGCTCTTGTGCATGCGTCTTCTGATGTGTGTGTTTGGGTGGGGGCTTCTTCTGACCTTGATACATGTAGGATGAAAAATGCCAATGCTGCTAATATTTTGAGTCCTGTTGGTGTTGGTGTTGGTGTTGTTGTTGGGAGTGTTGCTGATTATTTGGGGGTTAATGCTGTGACATTGGACTCTGCTATAGCTTTTAGTGACTCTGTTCTAGTGGTGAAGGAGCTTGCTCCTTTTGTCGCTTTTTTAGATCCGCCTAAGAATGTTTGTTGTGATGGAGTGAATGGAATTATGAGTGAAAATTATTGTGGTCTAAATCTTATAGCTAGCCATTCATGTGAGGTTGCTGTAGTTGATTCTGGTGATTTTTCGGATGAGGTGGCTTCCGGGATTGGTCATATCTGGTGAGGATCTACCTAGTGCTCCTTCGTGGGCGTTGGTTGTTTCTGATGGCGCCATTTCTTTAGAGCTTGTGGCATGGGAGGTTGAAAGTTCGGCTGTTTATTTGACTTCTGTTTTACCTGTTAATGCTGAGTCGAATGTGTCTCCTTCTGTGAATGTCTCGATGGGGAATGTGGGGTATGTTGATATTCCTATTTCTGTTACGTCTAATGTAGATTTGAAAGCTTATGTATCCCACCCTTTGAATAACTCTGTTTTGCTTCAATAGGATTGGCTGGAGTTGGATGAGAACATTTCCTCTTCTTCTTTGGGTGAGGGTGATGATTTTGATGACCCGTGTTTATGATGTTAAGTGTAGTTCTAGTGGCAGAGGTAAAAGATAGAACAGTAAATCGAAGAAGAAATAGGCTTTGGGTTTTCTTCTCTCTTTCTTTGTCGTGGGCATTATTGACTTTTAGGACGATCATGAGGCGGCCCTCTGCTTTTCTCCCTTTTGGCCTGGACTTGTTGGCAACCTTGGTGGTGCCCTTGTGCTTGATGGTTGCATGTGTGGGTTGTTAATGAGTGGTTGTTACTAATGGATGGTCCGTGCCTGACTACAGGTTGGTTGCAGGGGGCTGCCACCCTGAGTCCGTTGTTGACTGTTGAATCATTTATTGCATTTTTTTCTGTCTGATTTATCTAGGTTGCTTTATTTTCTTTTATTTTGATGTATTTTGGCGTCTACTGTGGTCGGTGTTATAATCCTTTCTATGTTGGAAAAAAATGATTTTTTAACTATTTAATTGCTTAAATCTAACTACATCTATGTCACTATAAAATGCTAAAAAATAACAGCTTCACAAAATGTGCTTTTAAAGATTGTCAGGACTTAAATTATTCTGATAAACCAATAGTATATGTATTTTCAAGTTGTAATTTTGTGTTCATTCCATAAAAAAATGAAGAATAAAATATAAATTAATTTATTTAAAATAAAATATATTTATTATTAAAATTCTGTGTTAAGCATGTAAATGCCAACAAAAACGATGATTTGCTATCAATCCACGTGGAAGAGCTTTCCAGCTTTACTTGCATCCTAACCTGCCACGCGTTGCAACACGACGGCTCGTACTGCATGCCTTGCTACCTTTCCTGGACCAGAATCACTCAAATGTAGCAATGGAGAGACCGGGACTCGCGCAAGGTGTTTGCGAAAATTTGCAGCAGATAGCTAGGCACTGCTTCGCCAGAACACGGCCATGGATTTCAGCAGCATATCCACGATTCTGAACGACTCTACTGACGGGCATAAAAAGGAGGTCATTGTTCTTTCACCGACATCGCAATTTGAAGATGCTTCCTGTGTTTGTACTAGTAGTCGGGATTCAATGGCCTCTGGTTCTGCCCTCCAATCTTTCCTTGATCACATCTCCATCGACCCCATTACAAACTTCCTCAACACCTCTGGTCTGAGATTCTTGATTTTGAACTATTGAGTGTTTTTTGTCTGTTTGTTTGTTGTCCGTTTGTTTGTTTGTGTAATGATATTGGTTTAGCCTTGCAGTATTGGAGCTGAAACTCGATGATTGCATCCAAGATGCAATCAGATCTTTGTATGAAAGAAATGTCTTTGGCGCACCCATTGTTAATTCCGTGTCGTCGGATCGGGGTAATTTTATTGACCGCGATATCGGGTTCATTGAGTTTTCCAGCATGGTCCTGTGGTCGCTCGAGGTAAGTTGATTGCTTTGAAACGGTTTAATCCCTTTTTTTATTCCCTTAACTGCCTGTTTAGGATGAAAAGTTTATTTGGGAGAGTTGGAGAATCTTTGAACATTCATTTTTCATTTTTAGTAGAATCATTCATTGTTAGCTTTTCTCGACAGCAAGGTTTGTTGACATAGTTTTTTTTTTATAGGAGTTTGATAAAGCCAGTGCTGAATCAAAGAGTGACAGCCATGGTTTTCTCTCGATGTTGGAACAAATTTCACAGATTGGACAGACTAAGGTTCGGTTTTTCCAAATTCCTCCGTGATGAAAGATCTAATTCAACTTTTGTGCAACTGGGTGGCTATGGATGGACTTGAATGAGTATTAACCTAGATTGTCTTATTCTTTCATGATTCTTTTTTTTGGAAAACTTTGAAGCGATTTCAAGGACTTGTTTGAACATTGAAGTGCTGTTTCAATCTGAGAAGTTCCTTAAGAAACGATGAACTGATTTGTTTACCATGAACTCTATCCCAACTATTGTTTCGTTCTTCAAATCTTTTCCCTTTGCAAATTTCGCCACTAGATGTTATGTCTTCTTATAAAATGTGATGGATTGAATGTTGCAAAACAATCATATAACAATCCATGTGTGCCTTAATTTTAATCTATCTTGTACTTTCTTAAAACTTGAAATCTGATCTTACTATGACTTAACATACTGTTCACTTACTTAAAAAGCAGGTTGGTGAGCTCGCCAAGTTTTTCCTATGGGAGCCCTTTTTTCCCGCTAGCCCTGGTGATTCTCTCCTTCGAGTCTTATTACTCTTCTCCAAACATAGAAGGCTGAAGGTTGTACCAGTTGTAGAATCATCGAACTCTTGTGTTGTCAGCTTTATCACCCAGGTAATACAATCCATGATTAAGGAAATACATAAATATACATGCTTGGGAACTACATGTCCGCTAAGGACCACGGATATGCACCATTAGAAATTGATTTTGTTAAGCCATGGAACGCTTTTGAAATCCCAATATCTTGGCGAAAGTGGTATGTGCTTTATTTTGATAACTGTAAGTATAATTTGTAAACCTTAGTAAAGCTTATCTTTAACTTTGAGTTAGTTTTGCAAAGTTTGTGTTGGCATTTGCAAGCTTGCGACGAATGTAAGATCTGGTATCTGTCAATACAAATCAGTGCTCTTTATTTATGAAATGCACAGGAGTCAGCTTTGAATTACAGCCGAGGCTTAGTGCGTGTGTGGGTTTTGGTTTGGGGTGGTGTATCCAATGAAATATTAATGTTGATCTAAGAGTCTGTTGATCTAAGAGTCAAAGGGATGTTATATATTCGAAGATTGTAAATATATTCTTTTGCGCTAGAATGCAGTATTACAGCTGCTTCTTCAGTCGAGTGGACTAGATTGGTTTGATCAAATTGCAGACATGCCAATTTCTGATTTTGGGTAAGGGAAAGCCTTTTCTCATTGAATCTCGCTCTAGAGTTTAATATTATAGCTAAGAATTATTGAACTTATTTTTATCTTGCTCAGATTTGAAAAGAATCGTGCTCTTGTATGCATATTTGGTGATCAAACAGTTGCAGACGCATTGCATATTCTTTGGGAAAATCATTTTGATGCAGTCCCTGTGATCGGAAGAGTGACAAAAACTTTGATTGGATTTGTGAGGAGAAGTGACATTTACCTTCTCCTGGAGGATGATGAACTATACCAAAATAGAAAGTAAGTTTTTAACATTTTTTCATTCATTTTCATCATTTGCATAACTTGAAAATTATTTGTAATTAACTTTGTATAAATTAATTACATCGGATTGTATTGTTGCCGTGGACCTCAATTCAATTTCGCATGCTCACTAGAGGGATGTGGGGTCCTCCACCTAAATTTTTTTTGTATGCAAAACCTCGGCGTTGTGTACCTGAGCGCCCCGGCATTGTGTATGTCAACGCCCCGGCGTTGTGTTCCTAAGCGCCCCGTTGCTATATTCTTGAACATCTTGTCGTTGTGTTCCCGAGCGCCCCGGGGTTGTATTCCCGAGCACCCTGACGTTGTTTTCCCGAGTACCACGATGTAGGAAAGTTTGTTGGAAGAAACGACTGAGAGCGAGGCTCTACAATGCTCTAGATTATGCGCCACAAAGTTATGTAGTGTTGTAGCGCTTCGTGCTTGAGCGTCGTAGCATTGTTAGACAAACCGAGATTAGAGATTTGAGCGTTGCATCGCTCCAAACTAGCGTCGCAGTACTGTGAGGCGGACTAGACAATTTTCTTTCTCAGTTTTCTTAAGAGTTGCGTCTCTTGGTGTTACTTGACTTTCTCTTTTGTTTTGAGTGTAAGAACAATGCAAGAGAGGAGAGAAGCAAGGAAAGAGTGAGAGAGAAGAGATATATGTACTTATTTCTTCCAATTTTCATAGTGATTTCTTAGTGTGGTGTGGCTTCGTGGTTTTTGCTTGATTTCAAAATTTTTCACATGAAATCTTGGTGTCCTTTTATTTTCGTTGATTTTAATTTTTTTGTTTGTTTCGTTGTGGTGTTTTACTTCCATCCCTAACAAATGGTATCATAACCTGGTTGTTTAGTTCGAGTGAGAGTAATGACTAACGAAGTAAGATACAAGATTGAGAAGTTCAATAGTTCGAACTTCGCATTCTGGATTATGCAAATTGAAGATTTGTTGCATTAGAAAAAGTTGTATTTATCATTGGAAAGAATCACCAAGAAATTGAATTCTATGAATATGAAGGTGCAGGAAGTTCTTTACCGGACTGCTCTAGGTTTAATATGACTTTCACTTTTCTCATATGTTGCATTCAATATTATAAATGAGAAGATTACTTTCGAGCTCATAGTCGCATTGACTAAGATGTATGAAAATCCATCAGCCTCAAACAAAGTGTTCTTGATGAAGAAGTTATTCAACACGAAGATGTTGGAAAGTACTCCAATAACAGAGCACCTGAATAATCTGAATACTGTGATAAGTTAATTGTGTTCAATTGGCATCAAGTTTGATGATGAGGTGAGAGTGTTGTTATTATCTTCATTGTCATAAAGTTGAGATGGGCTTGTTATTGTTATGAGTAACTCTTCAGGAAGTTCAAAGTTGAACTATGAGGATATTATGGGATTAGTATTTAATGAAGAGGTTTGTAAGGGGATAAACGGTGAATCTTCAAATTCTGCTCTGAATGTTGAAGCAATCAAAAGGGATTTAGAGAGAAATCCTAGTAGAGGGAGATCTACATCAAGGAGAGAAAAGTCTACTTTAGGTAGAGCAAAATTATGTGCTAGAGCTGTAGAAAGAAGGATCAATTGAAGAAGGAATGTACAGTTCCAAAGAAGGGCAGTGCTAGAGGTCAAGACAAAATCACTCTACAAATGTATCTGCAGAATAGTATTAATCAGATTCTCTAATTTTATTTCTTGACAATTTTGAATCTCGGGTTATAGATTCAGGTGCTTTTTTTCATGCAAGTCCTAACAAGGAGACATTCAAGAACTATGATCAATATAATTTTGGTAAAGTTTATCTAGGACACAACAAGCCTGACAACATTGTTGAATAAGGAGTTAATAATATCATAATGCTATATGGGTCAATTTGAAAATTCAAGAATGTTAGACACGTTCCTTGTTTGAAGAGGAGCTTAGTTTTTATGAGTCAGCTTGCAAACTCGGGCCATGTGACTCACAGGAGATTTGTGAAAGGTGGCAAAATGGACTATAGTTAAAGCTTATGGCAGTATTGAAGGCACCTCGAATGTTATCAACAAAAGATATGCTGATTCATATGCTGATAGAGGTCTTTGACATCTAAGACTTGATCATATGAGTAAAAAAGTATGCATTCACTTTCTTACTAGAGGTAAATTTTTTGGTTTAAAATTTATAAATTTCGATTTTGTGAAGACTATATATGGAAAGAAACATAGGGTAAGTTTTTAAATGCTGGTTCAAAGGTCAAGTCAAGGAAGTTGGAGTTAGAGCATATTGATGTATCGGGTTTTGCTCCGGTTACTTCTATAGGAGGTTTTTTTTTGTATTTTGTCACATTTATTGATGAACGCAGTAGGAAGGTATGGGTGTACTTCTTAAAACACAAGTTAGATGTGTTTGATGTTTTTAAGAAGTAGAGGCCATAGTTGAGCTTAAGATATGTTTGAAGCTCAAGTGTCTCAGATTAGATAATGGTGGCGAGTATCGTGATAAAAAGTTCAATGAGTATTGTGCTTTGCATGGGATTAGGCATGAGTTTATTGCTCCAAGAACACAATAGAAGAATGATGTTGCAAAATGCATGAATAGAACTATCACCGAGCGTGCTAGGAGCATGAGATTACATGCTGGTATACCCAAGTAGTTTTGGGCAGAGGTAGTAAATATTGTTGTTTATCTGATCAATCATGGTCCTTCAATTCTTCTGAATGAGGGGTTACCTGAGGAAGCCTGGAATGGAAAATTGTTAAGTTTATATCACCTTAAAGTTTTTTATTGTTCATCTATATTCATATTGATGCAGGATCTAAGAGTAAGCTTGATCTAAAATCTATCAAGTGTATATTTATTGGATATTGCTTAGATGAATTTGGTTATAAATTCAGAGATGATCAAAATCAGAAATTCATCAGGAGCAGGCATGTCAAATTGAATAAAAATGAAATATACAATGATAGAAATGAGGCTCCCAGAGATTCTTCCAAATCTGTTGAGATAGAGGATGATGATGATGATTAAGAAGACAAAACTAATGAAGCACAGATAGTACCTCAAACTCCTGCTACTGAAACTAAGAGATCCAACAGAATCTCAAGGCCAATACAAATGTATTCTCCTTCCTTATGCTATCGAGTGCTGACAGATAATAGAGAATCAAAGTGTTATGATGAGGCCATTCAAGTTAATGATTCAAATAAGTGGAAGCAAGCCATAGATGATGAGATGCATTCACTTGAGTTGAATCATACTTGGAGTAAATAGTTACCAAGTGGCAAGAGAGTATTGTAGAACAAGTGGATTTATAGGCTGAAAGAAGAACCTGATGGTAACAAGTTTTACAAGGCTAGACTTGTTGTTAATGGTTTTTCAGCATAAGGAATGAGTGGACTTCACTAAAATTTTCTCTCCAATGGTGAAGATGACTTTCAACCAGAGTTGTAATAAGCATGGTAGTAGTGGATGATTTATATTTAGGGCAGATGGATGTAACGACAACATTTCTTCATGGTGACCTTGATGAAAAGTTGTACATGGTGCATCCTTAGGAATATATGATCACAAGTAATGAAGATCTGGTGTGTAGGCTTAAGAAGAGCTTATATGGACTGAAGCAGGTACCAAGATAGTGGTATAGGATATTTGACAGGTTTATATCAGATAATGGACACACAAAGTGCTAGGCATATCACTGTTATTTTTTCATACATTTTGATTACTAATATATTATTCTGCTTTTGTATGTGGATTACAAGTTAGATGTAGGGTCAGATATGAATAAAATAAGATGTCCGAAGGAACAATTATAAAAAGAGTTTGAAATGAAAGATCTGAGTCCGGATAATTGTGCTCCTCTTACCATCAAGATCTTGTTGGAGATCTTGATGGTAAGAGGAGCACAATAGGTTATATTTTTACTTTGGGAATGACTGCAATGAGTTGGGTTATCTAGTTATAGAAGATTATTGTGCTCTCAACCACAAAAGTTGAGTATATTGCTATCATTGGGGCTAGCAAGGAGATGATTTGGTTGCAAAGTTTCTTTACAAAACTTGGCAAGAGACAAAGGAATGAGAAGATGCATAGTGACAACATGAGTGCTATTTATCTTGCCAAGAATGCAACATTCCATGCTAGGACGAAGCACATCTAGCTTCGGCATCATTCCATTAGGTCGCTTCTAAAAGATGGTCAATTATCTTTAGAGAAGATACACACGATCAAGAATCTTGCAGACATGCTGATGAAGGCAGTGACCGTTGATAAATTGAAGCTATGTGTATCTTCAGTTGGTCTTTATGGAGGATGAGAGCAGGGGTGAGTCACACTACATGTACTATGATTGGTGTTACAGATCTGGACAATAATTGTTTGCAATTAGTTTTCAAGAGGGAGATTATTAGTTCTGTGTGAAATTTGATTGTGATGATCAATCGGATTGTATGTTGCCTCGAACCTCAAGTTAGTTTATCGTGCTTGATAGGAGGATGTAAGGGGTTCTTCCTAAATAAAAAAAAAAAAAATTTATGCAACGGCCCGATACTGTGTACCTTAGCGCCCCGGTGTTGCAATTTTGTTGGAAGAAATGACAGCGAGTATAGTGCCGCAGTGATCTAGAGTCGGCGCTGCAGTGCTCTAGAGTCAGCACCGCAATACTCTAGATACAGTGTCATAGCACTGTATAGTGTTGCAACGCTACAATTTTGAGTGCCGCAACATCATTTGATGGATTGAGATTAAATGTTTGAGTGTCGCAACCCTGTGAGGCGGACTGTACAATTTTCTCTCGTTTTTCTTAAGGGTGGCATCTCTTGATGTTACTTACTTGACTTTCTTTTTTGTTTTGAGTGTGAGAACAATGCAAGAAAGGAGAGAAGCAATGAGACGGTGAGAGAGAAAAGAAATATGTACTTATTTCTCCCAATTTTCATAGTGATTTCTTTGTGAGGTGTGGCTTCTTGGTTTTTTGCCGATTTTGGGTTTTTCTATGTTAAAACCTTGTGTCCTT